AGCTCCTGGCCATACTACTAGGAACAAGAAGCTACTAGTAACAAAGGCTGTCCACGACTATCCACAACAGCAATGCACCAAAGTGTGTCCACCGTCACGTGCACCTCGTTGGTCCCACCGCCAATCTCCAAGAGTTTGGCGTCACGCCTAGTGTCCGTGTTCCATCAAGGCCTACATGGGTTTCCTACCGCTGGTCTTTGTAAATTCCGACATTGGATGTACGCTGGTTACATATCGCTCATCGCTGGTGCATTTCACTAAACAACTCCTGCAAGAGTTCCATGCATTGTTCAATTGTGGGATTCAACACATGTCACGCACACACTACACCTTGAAATACCATTCTTCATTTCGTTTTTCTTCAACATGATTCCCCGGTGGATGTGAGCCACAAAGAACGACCCCGCACGACCAACAAGGCAACACAACACCTCCGCTGCTACTAGTAGCTCCTGGCATGACTACTAGGAACAAGAAGCTACTAGGAACAAAGGGCATCGCTACTAGGAGCAAAACCACAGGCGCTCCACATTGTACTCACCCACATAGCCGTAGCCACCCATGACCTGGTCAGGTAGATCAGCTGCACGTCTCCCGAAACACGGAAATCCAGATGAAAAAACACATGTGGTTATAAAGTCCTGAAGTCCTACTTTGAGTCAATCTCTCAAAATCTGGCAACCTTCAAGGCACTTGTTCATATTCATGATTAAGTCACACTGTCACTCTCACCCTATTGACAAAGAGCCCGCGAATCTTGAGCTACTCGAAACAGAATGTTTGCAGGTTGCCTTGCTGTAATGAAACATCCAAAAGCCATAATCATACCTGTCTGGATATTGGGTGTGTCTCAGCCGGAAGTCGAGTCCACTTATGTCCACTTAATCTCTTCAAAACGTGCCCACCTGCCAACGCAATTCAAACACACCCAACAAACGCAGCATGTTGAACAGCTTGGCGCCTGGATGGCCCGATCTGCTACGTTTTTCCCCATCTGCCCACAGTAGAGCTTCACGCCATCAGCGTCCAAGCCATTGCCTTCACAGGCCGTCATTCGCTTCCTACATGGCATGAGCAACCCTGTCTAAGAATATGTGCCATCTGGAATGTCTTGAAGATCCTCGAAGGGTCGACCATTAGCCATCCACCCTTCGCCGATTTGAACATCTCCTCGCCATACTGCGCTTTGACGCCAAGCTATCAGCTAGACTTGTCCATTGTGTTGGTCTATGCTTGTTCTGAACGTCAAGCTCTCCACAGCAATCACACCCGCTCCATCTCCCCGCCTACTGAGTCTAACTTCAGGTTTCGCGCGACCTGGTAGACGTAGCTCCGTCCTGCCTGGACTAGGTGTGAGGTGCCAGAAGAAACCTGCACTCCGAGCCTGGTAGTTTATGAGATCTAACATGTTGGTGTTAAACATCAAACATCCCCAGGTGCTCAAAAATCCTCTAAAAAGGCCGGTCCTGAGATCAGATCCTTATCCCAACCGCCTCTTGTGGTGGTGCTGCTTCCAAAGTTGCGAGGAACATCCAGTCGGTGGGCCTGGTACTCCGCGAAGGACTCTGCGAGGAATCTCTGAATCTGCCCAAAGGAGTTGAGCTGCGCTCCAAAGGCCTTGGTTGGTATACTACAGGTGCATGTCTTCACACCCTTTCCTTCAGAAGTAAGCTATGAACTGCTTCAGTAAATGGCGTAACTCCAAATTAAATGATCTCAGATGCCAGCATGACGCTCCTTGGCGTACCTTTGACCAAAGGAATCGACGAATCGACGGAGGAAGTTCCTTTCCACCAGGGAAGCCAGTTTCGTCGGTCAAGAAAAGTTGGGGCACCGTTATCGAGGTCTCCCCACATCTCCGTTAAGAAAAATCCATGTCATCCTCTGGAGGTTTGGCGGCAACCCCGAAATATATGTCCTTCACCTTCACCACTGATGAACTTCTTTTTCAATATCCAGTAGATTAGCTTGCTTCAACTCTCCAAACAGCAGGGACATATCCCCAAAAGGAGGTGTCAGATCAATCAATTCACACCTCTTCACCTCTTCCATACACACCGCAGTCACTTCGTGGTGACAGACTTCGCCACGTGAATCCCCACCTCGCCTGTTCATCTCCTCCACGCACCGCCGGGCGATGCCCAGGCTCATGGCTGCCAGGGCCACCTGAGGTCTCCAACAGTTCTTCTTCTGCTTCTTCTTGTTTGGAAAAGAAAAGCCAGTGCTACCAGAAACCAGCCAGGCCATGTATTTCATGTGCAAGCTTCATAATATGCAAAACACTGCAAAACGAAGACTCTGTAAGAGTGCTACTGCGTGTGCAAGCTGCTTGTATGGTTGAGAGCTGCGGCGTAGCTTCGCTAAGCCCATGGCTCTCTCGATCTCTAGGTTTCTCATCATGCAAAGAGTTGCCTTTCCTGGCAGGAGAAGCAGGAGAAAAGGGAATCATCAGGCGAGTGTCGATGACAGCTGCAGGCGGAAGTAGACTTCACGCTCCCTTAGCATTAACAAAAAAACATGTTTTTCCTGACCACTGGCTACCCCTTACTCTTGAAAGGCAAGCATTGAAGCTCCTCCCCATGGAGCGCCTATCTGACACCCTCCTGTTCGGCTAACAGGCCAGCAAGACCCTCTTCACCCACCAGGTTGGACGCCGGCACTCGGCAGTCCTGGTTTGACAACTTCAGCAATCAAACACCAGCTGTCGCCTGCTGATCCAAAAAATGGCTTGCTGTCGCATTGTAAGGACTGACACAACACTTGTTACACTTGTGGTTAGGAAATGCAAGTGAACGCCCTTGACACGATCAGATAGCCTTTTGAGAAAAGGATCCTGGAAAACACCAAGAGGCGATTTCACTCCAGGAGCTCCTGAAAAACAAGCTCTGCCGTCATTGATGCACGCATGCCGCACTTGTCCTGGTGCCAGGAGCCGGAGCTGATTTCAGGGAGGACGAGAGGACAAGAGACACAAGTTGCCACACACTCCAACGGCTGGAGCCGTCCGCATCGGATCGCTCCTCGATCTTCTGGCCCAGAGAGAAGCCTTTCATGCCCTTTTCCACCAGGAAAAGTGACACGTCCCGACTGCCCTTGCCAGTCCTAGCGTAGACCTCAAAGAGTTGCTATTCAAAGGAACCAGCATTTTCTAGTCTACATGACTTGTGAAGAGACTGGATCTGTGGCAAAGCAACTTTTTTCTTGCGTGGCCATCCATGGCAGTTCGTCTGCTGCCTTTTGGTTGATATCCTTGCCTATGTCTCCCACTTGCCTTGCTTCTACCAACGTCCCCACCGAGGCTTCGACCAGGTAGGCGTCACCCGTCTCCACCCCGTCCACGGTTCCATTGGTGATCCACATCTTGGCGCCATTCAGCACATACCTCGCGGGTCTAGGCGGCTCCGGAGTAGCCACCCTTCGAAGGAAGCACGAGCAAAACCAGGTTATATACTATATATAACCCACTTCCAAGTCTGAATTGCATTCCAAAGAGGTTGTGAAGGTTTGTGAAGTGTGCCCAAGACAGCGACATCACTCCCGGGATGAGCACTCGTCACCATCTTTGACAGCTGTTGTTTTCATTCCGAGGACGTCTGTGCCCACCTGGAACAAAATATGTGGCTTCAAGCTGCATTCGACCAGTTTCGAAGAGATGCGGTGGCATCGAGCTCCAAAGGAGTCCGAGGGTGGCCCGAAATTAGCAATGATGTTCAAGAAGCATCAAGACGCAAGGACAGGTCAACTAACAATCTGGTGGAAGAAGTAAATACATTGATATATAATAATGTAATGTAGTGCAATGATGTGCAATGGCTGATGATAAACCCAATGAGGATCAGCAAACCACAAAAACAAACAAAAACGATTCATGGAGCCTTTTGGGTGCCAGCCGAGGGGTGGTATGACTGACGCGAACGTTGTCTACAAGCTTGAGCTTCCTGCGCTGGGCTCCGACATGCACCTCGGCAGGTCAACGATCATCATCTGGTCGAGTCAAATCAGACTGATTACAATGCAAACTGTTCCTGCCTCCCTTCCTCCTGTCCCGTCCCGTCCCGCCCCTGCCCTGCCCATCCCGTCCCTTTTGCTTTTCTTGTCTTTCCTTTTTGGGTCTTCGATTGCATTCTCGTCTTCGGTGTTTTCTATGTTAATACTTGTATTTCCTTCTGATTCTTACTTTGTTCGCGTGTTTCTTTCCTTAGACCCTTTAAAATTTACTTAGACGTTTCCTTGATGTTCTTCTTTGTTTTCATCTTGTTTTCCTTTCTCTGATACTCTCTATATGATGATGCAATGAGGTCCAATGACAACTGCCTGGGTTCTTCGCATGCCACAGAGCTTTGACCCATCCACTGCTGAAGACAGCCATCTTTGCTTTTGAGCCTTCCGATCATGACAGCTCCACGTCACCTTGCCCTTGTTACTAGAAGCTCCTTCTTACTAGTAACTAGTAGTAAGGCCAAGAGCTACTAGTAGCGTCCTTGCTCCTAGTAGCAATGCCCTTTATTACTAGTAGCGTCCATGTTACGAGAGTATATACTTTTTTTGTCGGCGACCGGCGGGCCGGAGACCGGACCGGAGACCGGACCGTGACTGGGCCGGTGACCGGACCGGTGACCGTGCCGGGACCGGGCCGGGCCGGAGACCGGGCCGGAGACCGGACCGGAGACCGGGCCGGGCCGTTGACCGGACCAGTGAGAAGTGGTCACTCCAACTTGACTTACTCTTTTGTGGGCAATGCAGGGGTAAAATTTGGAGAAGGATGTCGCCTTTCCAACTTGACTCACCCCTTTATGCGGGCAATGCCGTGGGAAAATTTAGACAAGGAAGTGGCCCTTCCAACTTCACTCAACCTTGTGTGGGCCATGCAGGGGTAAAACTTAGAGAAGGATGTTGCCCAAGTTGACTCACCCTTTGGTGGGCCATGCAGGGGTAAAATTTGGAAAAGGAGGTTGCCATTTCAACTTGACTTACCCCTTTGTCACCCTTTCGTGGGCAATGCAGGGGTAAAATTTAAAGAAGGATGTCGCCATTTCAACTTGACTCACCCTTCTGTGGGCAAGGCAGGGGTAAAATTTAAAGAAGGAAGTGGCCCTCAACTTGACCCACCCTTTGTGGGCCATGCAAGGGCAACGCAGGGGTAGAATTTAGAGAAGGATGTTGCCTTTTCAACTTGACTCACCCCTGTGTGTGGGCAATGCAGGGGTAAATTTACAGAAGGAAGTGGTCATTCCAACTTGACGCACCCTTTTGTGGGCCATGCAGAGGTAGAATTTAGAGAAAGATGTAGCCGTTTCAACTTGACTCACCCCTGTGTGGGAAATGCAGGGGTAAAATTTAGAGAAGGAAGTTACCCTTCCAAGTTGACGCGCCCTTTGGTGAGCCACCCGAGGATAAAATTTAGAGAAGGATGTTGCCACTTCAACTTGACTCACCCTTTATGTGGGCAAAGCAGGGGTAAAATTTAGACAAGGAAGTGGCCCTTCCAACTTGTAAAATTTAGAGAAGGATGTTGCCCAAGTTGAGTCACCCTTTGGTGGGCCATGTAGGGGTAAAATTTAGAGAAGGAGGTTGCCATTTCAACTTGACTTACCCCTTTGTGTGGGCAATGCAGGGGTAAAATTTAGAGAAAGGAGTGGTCATTCCAACTTCACTCACCCTTTTGTGGGCAATGCAAGGGTAAAATTTTAAGAAAGATGTTGCGTGGATAAAAAACAATTGTTGACTGGTTGCAGGTCCGGTGGCCGGCGTTGGGGGGGGCGGTGACGGGGCCGGAGACCGGGCCGGTGACCGGTGATTGGGCCGGTGACCGGGCCGGAGACCGGGCCGGAGACCGGACCGGAGATCGGACCGTGACCGGGCCGGGCCGGTGACCGGAGACCGGGCCGGAGACCGGGCCGGAGACCGGACCGGTGACCGGGCCGGTGACCGGACCGGTGACCGGAAACAAAAAAAGGTATATTATGTGTTACGATTAGGGCGCGCCCCGAATCACATACCGTCGGCCTCGTTTCCATTCTGGGCGAGGTTATTCACGAAGAGCATACTGTGAGCCTGCGGTGTATGTGGCAGTGCTTTTCCCAACGCCCTCTTCGAGCTAAAAGACGTTCCGAAAAGCACCCGTCCAACGCTCGGAGGCCCTCGATCTAGGTGGACATACCACTGGGCTTTCAGTTCTTCATGGCCACCGACGTGGTCTATTTTGACAGCTGAGCTCCTTTTTGCGCTGGCCCCTCTCCTCTGCAGGAAATAGCCACATGGAGTGATTGTGATGCATGATCTGTCTCTCAGTTTGTCAGCAAGCTACCACCCATCCTGTGTCTGGAGGATGTGTGCTACAAGGTCCTTGATAAACTGGCCTTGCCAAACCTGTCATTCTGTCTTCCGTCCATCTTTGGGCTAAGGCGCCAGGTAGGCCAAGCAGAAGGCCGGGTCTGAGGAAGCAAGCTCCTGCCAGGATCCATCTGCACCAACTCCAACAAAATGACTTCATGCTGTGCTTAGGCCTAGAGTCAGTGCTTGGGATTCTATTCTTGGTCGATCGTCCTGCACAAAGTGTAATTAAGGGCCAACCCACAACAAGCAGCATCAGTGCTGCGTTCCAACCTCGTGCACAATGACAGCAGCAGTTGCATCCATGCCACTGCCTCCGTATTCCTCGAGCAGGGAAGTGAGCGAGAACCCAAGAAGAATATCTAATTACTTACAAGCATCGTCTTCATACCAATTGCTTGTTCCGAATTCTTCCATCTGTCGTTCATCGTCCCGCCTCCGGCACAGTGACACCCAAGAGGCCTAGCTCTCCCAGCTTCTGGAAGAGAGGCCTCGAGAGGCCGTTGGAACGACCGAACAAAGGCTCCAACCATCGGTCGTGAATGAGCAACGATGCCCATCGTGATGGGACGGTTGGCAGAGACCAATGACTGTAGCTTCTTGTTACTACTAGTAAGGCACCTGTTACTGCTAGCGTGGCACCTGTTACTAGTAGCTTCTTGTTTCTAATGCTGTTTGTTGCTGAAAGTCTCAAAGTACAGGTGCTCAAAACAATCGGCAATGACATGCAATGACGAATGACTCAAAGGACCGTTGAGATCGTTGATATGGTTGAACATTGGTAGAAGCATCCATAGGCTTGAGGTCTGGAAGAGAAAAAGGGCATTGGTGCATAATGGTGCAGAAGTGAACAAAAATGGCTTTCAAGCACGAGGCTAGCAAGGTCTCAGGTCCAGCATAGTCTCAGCAAGGCACACATTCATCTTTTCCGCTCGATTGAACTGGATGGCCTGAGGAAGCATTTAAGTTGCGCCACATAGAGTGCAGCACTCACCAGCCCCGGCCAGCCCTTAAGCACATGGGTTTCTACATGTCTGACTACCTTCCGTGCTCAGAAAGAGAAGCTTTCTGGAGGGCACATGACGGTACGTCTTAGCCAGCCACCTGGGACATACTGCAAGCATGTCCAAACGCTAACCAGTACATTCCAATTCGTGACTCCATAGTTTCAGGACCGGTATGTCTGAAGAATGACAACCTGTGGCTTTCTGAGTCTCCTTGAATCATAGAAATATGAAATATGAAAGCACTTGAGCCACTTGAGGATGGCAATGTGGTGACGCCCTGTTTGCACATGAAGGCCCTGATTGGCCTGCGGCTCAACTTCCGCTTCGGTGAAGGATCGCACCATCTCTCTCAATGCCTTCGGGTGGATGAAACAGTGCTGTCTAGTTGTGGTCCATAGTCAGGTCACACCTCTACAAGTAGTGTTAATCTTCATACTTTGCATTATATACTTTGCTTTGGCTGAATTCTTTACAAACAACCACTACGGAGGGATGTGGATTGAAATGAAAATGCCGTCAAAGCTGAAGGCCGTCACAGTGGCCACAGTACGCTCACAGCCTGGTGCTCCGGTGTGGGGCTAAAGATGCTCGAATCAGAGTCCTTGGAGAACGAGGGCGAATCAGAGTCCTTGATGATCCGAACCATCCGATTCCATCGGTGTCGGTGGAATGGAAAAGGATTGGAAGGGTGTGACTGTGCCGTAAAGGCATCTGATCCGACAGGGGAAAGATCTGAAAGGAGTGAACACAGAACGGCCATGCTACTAGGACCAAGGACGCTACTAGTAGCAAGGTGCATGGCTACTAGTAGCGTCCTTGCTACTAGTAGTCATGCCAGGAGCTACTAGTAGCTTCTTGTTCCTAGTAGCGATGCAAGATTCAATCTTCCTCCTTTTTCTGCATGCTGAAACCGACGTTGGTACGTACGTGACATACAATGACGATGTTTGCAGAAGTGCATGGACTCCCTGGACCTCACCCTCACCCAACCCGGCTGAGTGCCACACCTGACCAACATCCACCACCTGCTTTGGAGGGGTCAGGTCCCGGTCTGGTCCCGGTCGACGGTTTTCGCCACTCTCGATCCCTTCTCCAAGGTCTGGTGCTTCGAGGCCTTTGAAAAAAAAAAGAGACACGGAGCTGATCATCGGATGGTGTGACAACTATCACAGGAAGCACACGAAGCTGTTGCGTCAAGTCTTTCTTGCGATTCTGTTCCACCATGTTCCACCTGATTGCAGGAGAAGCATCCATTTATATAAGACAAGCCGGCACTGAGAAGCATCCATTTACGTCTGATTTGTACTGTTCCTGGACGACAAATCCCGCACCCACCAAAGCTCTGTCAACGGCTCTTCAAAAATTGCCACTAAATAGAGCGCCATTTGCATCGCAGTGTCCTCGTTTTGTCTCCTGATTCCAAATTACACTCCTGGATAATATCATGGAACGGAATCCTATTCTCAGGCCGACCTAGCCTAACATTGAACAAGGAAACCGAGGAATTGCTGAGTAAACACACTCTCCCAAGCCATGGCCGATGCAAGTCTGTGCTTCTGTAGCAAACAAGTTGCACGACGTCCCACACGTCGTCCCACGTCCCGTCCCGCAGAAGGCCTTCTCTGGTGTACTGTCCATTGGCCATTGGACTGAGGCAGATCGCTCCTCTTCACCGCCGGTGTTTTGACGAAAAGGTGAGATCTGACGATTGGTCTCCCAGAAAAAGGCAGGTTTCCATGGTCTCAATTCAACCTGTCGCAACTTCGTGGCAAGTCCAACCCTGTGATGAGTTGCTGGTCCACTCTCAACTTCTTTAGTTTGCGAATGCCCAATTGTCCGAGGGTCCTGCATTGTGGCGCCGGCCCGCCATTGCCAGCGTTGCACCTTTAGGCCAAGCATTGCGAATTTAGGCAGAACCCTTGCGTGGCCATGGTGCCAATTTGCCAATAATGTTTCTTGTCAACCCAATCCTGGCTAAGCCAATTCTTTGTTGATGACAAAAGGTCCCAGGTGGCCAAAGCCCCGAAACCTCTAAACCCAAAAACTCTTGCGTTCCTCGTTCGGTGAAGGGTCCCTTGGGCCTTTTACAAAGTCAACTCAATCTTCGCCTGCGCTCGGGGTTGCCGAACCACACGCCCAGCCTGACCCGGCGGTCAAGACAGGCTTAGAATTGTTGAGTGTGCATAGTCAGTTTTGTGCAATCTGTAGGCGTTTGCTATCTGCGTCATGCTTAAACATGATCTCATTGGGCAAAGAACACCTAACAAATGAACGTTGAATCAGAGCAAAAGCTCATCCCTGGGATTCTGTCATGGTGATAACCTCAGGCTGACACAACTCCAGATAGAGCCCGCGGTAACTGCCTCGCAGGATGTTCCCCGGGCAGAGTTACATAGTTACATGGTTACATACGTACATACCTACATACCTATATACATACCTACATACATACATACATACAGACAGACAGACAGACAGACGTACAAAACGTACATTACGTACATTACATACATTGTACATACATTGTACATACATTGTACATACATTGTACATACAT